CTACATTTTGGGGACTTAATTATAATTTGTTAATTAATAAATAAGGATAATTTTGTAATCTCTTTTTCTAGAAGGTAAGCCTCATATCTACTTAAATATTGTCCTAAGCAGAATTTCCAGACAATGCTTACATAAAATACTGATAAGCACACATCCTCATTTAAGTATGATGTGTATCTCAAATCCCTGCCCTTGTGACTGGCATATGCTAAGAATTCAAGACATATGTGCTGAAAGAAGTAATGAAGTAACAAATGAATAATTTTCAAAAAGAGACAGGAATGTGTACAACTCACCATCCAGGAGGCTTCGTAACATTGAGGGATAATTTTAATGGAACAAGAGATTAGTTACATCATAGAGAAAAGCGAGTGTAGTGATGAGGTGGTTTAAAAAGGGGTAGGGAGGAGTTGCGCTAGGTAGTTCTCGGTTAACTACAGCCAGCAACTCTAACCTACCACTTGTTGGCTGGCATTCTGGGTGACATCCTCCCTGCCCTTTTACTTCCTTTTATTTATTTTTTTAAATACCCTTTTTCTGCTATTAATGTATAGCTAGAGTTGAAATTCTTTACCTTCTCCGTATACTTTGGCAGGGATCTACATATGCCATATTGATGTTAACCTTATCTTTGATGCTCATTCTAGATGTTAGATACTAAATATAATTTTAATGGTAATTTAACAAATCTAGCATCAAGAGAAAATAAAAATAATCAAACATATGAACTGTACCCCAAAATTTAAAAAGTAGGTTAAATATATACACATACAACTCCAGCTAATTTGAAGATGAGGAAGCTAGGAATGAGAGATGAAGAATTTGTTTTTGAAAGACCACACACAAACCTGCTTGACCTTAAACAACTGAAAATATTAACAAGAAGGGCAATTTTGCACAAAATACTGCCAAAATAACTACAAGAAGCAAGAAAGTTTTGGGAGGGGTGTATATTCAGGGCAACCTGAATCTATGCTCCTGGATTAGTCCTCAAACTTGAACCAAATAAACTCTGTACTTACAAGGCAAAAGCTTTTTTAAAAGGAATATTTTCAGATCACATCAAGAAATAGAAATCTATCCTGCCCCTTCTGCCACAAAGCTAGCAGCAGACCTATTTCATCAATGAAAGCAGCATATATCCATGAAAAGAATACAGTAGTGTATATTTTTAAAACCAGTGTGAACATGCTGGATTTCTCCAGGAACCTAAGACGTTTACTACTAAGAAATTTCCTATGCTAACAGAGAAGAACATGGTCATTTCAACAAATAGTAGAAAGGCCATATGCAAAATTTTAATCAGCTAGTCCCAGTTGGAAAAAAAAAAAATGTTAGGAATATTAAAAACCTAATTTTGTATTGCTCCGAATATCTGACTCACACTCACTACCACCGCCCCCACCCCGTTCAATAATAACTCCAATCACTGTGGTTGTTCTTAACAAGAACGTTTGCTATTAATGCTAGGTCGTGAATCCAAATACCGCATGTAGGGAACAGATTCATGCAAGGGGTAAAAATCGCCGTTACGACAAAATTATTTATTGATGAAATTACCGTCTGCCTAAAAAAGTGAAGTTAATACACTGCACTATTACTTAAGGGATCAATATGTGTCTGACCACGAACCAAATACACAAAATTGAGCCGTTTCGTATATACCTGCAACAAGCAACTAGAAGGTTCGATGGGAGAAAGTGATCCCGTCACAAAGGCAACAGCAACAGCAAAGTCAACGGAGCAGCCCGACTCGGCTAGCAAGCACCCCACAGCGCAGCTCAGCCGCAGCCGCCACAGCACGACGCGCGGGCCGCCCCGCCTGGCCGCGGGCTCCTCCCAGCATGACGTCACGGACGCGCCCGGCCCCTCGCACACGCCGCGCCCCGCCCCGCCGCCCGCGCTCACGGAAACACGTACGCTCACGGACGCGCCCGCCCTCGGCCTATTACGCATGCGCCCTGGCACCTCAAGCACGCGCCGCACCGCCCTGGCTAACGTGCAAGTCCTGCGCCCGGTCCGTTACGCACGCTCCCTGGTCCCTCCCCCACACGTCGTGCGTGCCCCCTCCCGTTCGACAACGGCGCACACGCTGCGCCCCGCCCCTGGCCCCGTTACGCACGCTCTCCCGGCGACTTTCGCTCACGCGGCGCCCCGCCCCTGCCGGTCGCGTACGCACACAAGTCCCGCCTCCGCCCCACTGAGCACGCGCCCCGGCCCCTCGCTCTCAGGCCACGCCCCGCCTCCGCACCCCT